ATCTCAATTGTCCCAACTCCTACTAATTAGTTGACACATCTTGTTTGCAGATTTATACAAAGAAGAGGAATTGACTAACCTTGAAGCGCCTCCATAATCTAGTGTTCATAAAATACAATAGAGCATTGAGGCATCGCTACAACCACCACAATATAATTGATCCAATTCTTTTGAAATTTTTGTAAAACAAAAAATTATTAAATACCCCTAGTTAAAATATCCAAAATTACTTATTAGCCTTAACATAGTGAAAGCGTCGTTCTAACAAATATGTGACCATACCTTGTTAATAACTCTCCAAATGGATGGGGTTCATATCTTTAATCACTTCCTCCGTTTCGTCTTTTTGTGAAAGTGTTTGACTGCGCACGAAGTCTAACAAGAACGTCTTTTAGAGCAACATACCATGACATTTTTGTGGCTATAAAGTCGTGTCATTTAGGTAAAGTAAAAAGTATTTAGCTAAATTATTTCTAAATATAGAAATTCCTATTTTTGGAACATACTAACAAAATTAGTGTCACATAAAATGAAAAAAGGGACTATAATACTTTTGTAATATTATAACATGTTGGACCGTTTGCTTCATAGTTGTATAGAATATACGTATAGACAAAAATTGGACGATTAGCCTTGACATATTCTTGAGTTAGGAGACAGTATTGTTTCTTCTACCATAAGATATTGATGATTTAGCCAGATCTTTATCTTTCGGGCAACATATATATTTTTGAAAGTCCTTTATTATTTGATGATATTGTGGACGAACATTATGCACTTTGGGTCCATAGTTGTGCAGTAATTGGGCATCTCACCATGGTTGCTGGAGCTGGACTAGACAGGGTTTCATCGTTTCTTCTTCCTTCCTTGCAACAAAGAACAAGAGAGAGAGAGAATGTAATGAACACGACATGTTATGAAAAAGGTCATCGTGTTCTCCGAGCAATAGTTCACGTTTCAGTCTATGCTTCGCTTATATGTTGGCTTGGCTGAGGTTCCTTCTCTTTTGTAGTGTTCCTGTCTTGATATGCTTTTCATGTGAGTAGAAATGGCGTTGGGATGGCGTTGGGTAGCCACTGTTTAAGCTGGTATTTACTTTTTATCCAGCATTTTTAATGCTTAGCAATAGTAGCCACTAGTCTATTAAAATTAATATGAAAAGACTGTGTTACCCTTTCCTCCCCAAACGGAAATACACTGATGCATTCAAAACATAAAGACTTCGTATTCTCTAGGTTTTAATTTGCGCTTGTTCACTACTGTTATGATTGACAACGATGCTTTTGGTTTTGAAAACAGCTGCTAATACAAAGATTGCGGATTCTGAGTCAAATGATGATAGTGACGAAGAAGTTCCTTATGATATTGATCCAGAGATAGAAATAGTCTCGCAAAATGTTGAACAGAAAACTCCTTCAGTCACTTCAGATGAAATACAAGTACTTGGTACCAAGGAAATGTAGTCTTGAAGTCCTAAAGTTAAGTTCAATAGTTAAGGACACAAGTTCAAAAGTTAAGGACAGTCAGTTCTTAACTTACAGTTACAAGTTCTAAAGTTAAGGACAGGAGTCCTTAACTTATAGTTACAAGTTCAAAAGTTAAGGATATGCAGTCCTTAACTTACAGTTACAAGTTCAAAAGTTAAGGACAATAGGTCCTTAACTTTGATTTCCAAGTTCAAAAGTTAAGGACAGACAGTCTCCTTAACTTACAGTTACACGTTCAAATGTTAAGGACAAGCAGTCCTTAACTTACAGTTACAAGTTCAAAAGTTAAGGACAATAGGTCCTTAACTTTGATTTCCAAGTTCAAAAGTTAAGGACAGACGGTCCTTAACTTACAGTTACACGTTCAAAAGTTAAGGACAAGCAGTCCTTAACTTACAGTTACAAGTTCAAAAGTTATAGACAATAGGTCCTTAACTTACAGTTACAAGTTCAAAAGTTAAGGACAATAGGTCCTTAACTTTGATTTCCAAGTTCAAAAGTTAAGGACAGACGGTCCTTAACTTACAGTTACACGTTCAAAAGTTAAGGACAAGCAGTCCTTAACTTACAGTTACAAGTTCAAAAGTTATGGACAATAGGTCCTTAACTTTGACTTACAAGTTCAAAAGTTAAGGACGCTTGGTCTTGAAGTTTGAGTTCCAAGTTCAAAATTTAAGGACATGTAGCCCTGAAGTCCTGAACTTAGAGTTACAGGTTCAAAAGTTAAGGACATGTAGTCCTGAACTTAGAGTTCCAAGTTCAAAAGTTAAGGACATGTAGTCCTGAAGTCCTGAAGTCCTGAACATGAGCAGAAGGGTATTTTCGTCCGGACAGTTAAAGTTTATTAAAGCAATGGCTAAAGACTAAAGACATTTTAAACGGTGGCTTAAAAGTAAATACATGTGTTATTAGTGGCCAACCGTGCACTTCCCCCTTCATGTGATCAATTGCTTATATCACCTTACCTTTTAGTTTTCTCTTTCTGCCTATCCTCTTTGACTATATGAGAAAATTTGTCTCATAATATCTTTGCTACAACCCTAGAAATTGTTATTTGTAGTTGTTCATATTTAGTGGTCATTAAGTTATCCTTTTTAGAAATAATAGTTTGTAGGTAGTTGCTCATTTTCTATGTCGATCGGATTGATGGGTGTTATTGGTGTTGGTAGACCTATCGTGGTTGGAGAAGTCGTTTGTCGTTTTCCACTTTTAGAATGATGGAATTCGCAGTTGATAGTGTAGTATTTCTTTTACTTCTTTTGCGCTTACGCTCCTCTTTAATCTACTCTCTGGATTGTGTTACTTGAAAGTCGGTTAAATCAACATGCCGATGAATGTTATCTATTTTGTTGAGCTTGATTTATTTCAAGGTCGTGCAAGAGATTTTAACGTTCTCACGCCTTTTGGGCAAGTCACATGTTCCGTTCTCCTAAATTGTTTCTCTAAATGAAGGTATATTTTTTTTGCTCCAATTCCTTACTACTTTCTGAATATTTCTGTGTGAGGATCTTTGCTTGAACAGGCTTTTGGCCTCCAGAGTGGTGCAATAGAATAATATATTGAGCAAAATGATGTTTCTATCCCATTGTCTTTTAAAGCTGAAATCGCCAAAAGTGACTAGGTCTATAGGGCTTGAAGCGAACAACGAGAGATGAAGAGCACACAAGTTACGAAAATTTAAACAAATATCAATTGTATATACAAATTTGGAAAATATAACAATTGAATTGAAATTAAAATAACTAATTCTGTATATAGGACTTTAGTAAAATATAAATCAAGTTGCAATTACAATGACTAATTTTCACATCCAATGTACAATAAAGTCAACATTAATCCACTCTCAAAGTTAATATTGAAAGCATCGATGTTTCTCTGACGGATAACTTCATGTGTTCGAAACGCACACTTCTATAAAGCAGACACTACTGACTTTATCCATGATGCGATAACTCCTCGTTTCACATTTCTTACAATGAAGTAGTTCCTTATAAAATTGTTCTTCACGTAGAGTCAAGTAAGCTACTGTTCTAAAATAGGACGTCTTACCTCTTGACTAAGACTTTATGTTTTCATCTTTTCATCCTTGATGCATCTACCCTACCTATGTTACAAGATTATTCCGATATGTCATTTTTTCTTCTTCTATGAGAAGTTTGTGTTAATAAAATTTGCTAAGTATCACCTCCAAGTTACATGCAAGGGAGTACTAGGCATTTGTAGCTATTGTTCAAAGACGACTGTGGTATAGTGCCTTCTGGAATGAGGTTTTAGCTATTATTCGACTTTGTCTTTTTTAGGATGTGCTATCTATTCCTTCTTTGATCTTGGCTTGTTGATCCATGTAGGATCAACTCTACTTAGTCTCGGTGCTCGTTTTGATTCTTTAAGTTAAACATATTTTGTGACCCTCACGCAAGCGTAATAATTTTGTGCTAGGTCTCAACACCATACTAAAGCATAATCTTGTGCCATACGAGGACCATTGCAATTATTCCTTTGATTCTAATATGAAACTCTTATCATACTATGTTTTACCATACTATGGCTAATCAAGTTTTAATCTATCAAAGATTGCTCATTATAAGTATGAAAGTTAGTAGCTAAGGTCTCTAACCTCGTACAGATGAATGAACGAATGATTTTTCAAGTTATACGAAGCTTTTTACGTCAGTCAAAGTATGCTTTACACCCTTTTACCTCATAATAGAATACTCACCTTTACCTGGCATGGTTAATTGAGTGATATGACTTGTGATGATTCGTGCCACCTTAGCTGATTATTTCCTTATCGCTAAGGCAACCTCAACAAGATTTGATGCTGCTTATTGTCATGCTTGTTCTTTCTCGTCTATGTTTTTGGCATGTCAAATTTGTAGAGCATTTCTGCACATGCACTTTATATTTCTAGTTCAAGATATTTCTTTTTAACATCAACAACATAGACAAACACACACCTTTGAACCCAATCAAGGGAGCTTGTGTAGCATCATCACCGAAGGCACCCCATTATGTTGGCCAAATACGAACTTTATGCTTCGATGAAAGGTCCAGATATTACTGCTCTGGTCGGGGTTTACCAGAGCGGTCAGTCCTTCCAGGCTTGCAACCCAAAGGGAAAAAAGGAAAAAACTCAACCTATGCTAACGAATCCAACGACCAACAGTTGGATTATAAAATTTTTTATTTAAAAAATCAAAGGCACAAGTAATAATACAAATGAGGGCTTGCAGCTTGTTGGAGAAACTATAAAGCACATCTAGAAAGTATGCACCAGCTTGAGGTAATTGTGAAATATACTACTTATATAGGATCAGATAGAATCAATTAAGTTTATTATTTTCCTGTAATTATGCAATTCTCAGCTTCTTTCGTAGTTTAGAACACGTAAACTTAACTGCTTAAACATCAAATAACCTGAGGGAATAATTAATTTATCACTCAATAATTGTATCCTACAATTTTGTGTACTTACACATTAGTAATCGCATCTCACACTTTTGTATGTTTCAGTCTCACAGAGATCGTTCAACAATACCACAGCCATGTGGAAGCAGAAAAAGAGAGCTCTGCAGAAGTTTTGGACACAGAGGTATATGTGTAGTTGACTTGGCAACCCAGTTTATTCTGATGACTTAGAGTTCTCTCTGGATACCTGAAATATGTTTGCGGCCTGTGAACTAGTAATAACTTATGTACAGTAGCCTAAATAATGGAGTATCAAACAACCCCATAGGTGCATAGTTAATACACCCAAAAAAAACCACTATTATAGCGCTAAATGATCAGTCGGAGACTATTTCCAAATGCACTGTATAATCCATGTAACTTCCTGTATCCTGAATAGGTCTAAAGACACTATCCAGGATATTTGTGTGCCCTCTGACTTGAAGGTTCAACCTAGTATGTAGTGATTAATGATGGTAACTTGTCATCATGGTGCCTAACAAGTGTCTTGTGCTTAGACATGGTTAGTATTTTGTTGAAACCAAAAAACCTGACAGCATTTTTCTTTTGATAAGGACAACCTCTGACAGTATTTTATGGTTCATTCTTGTATGGAGTAACTTATCATCAATTCGTTTAGAGTAGTGATCAATATTTAAAGTTCTGATTGCTGAAAGTTTTCTGTCCTTGTGAGGTGGAAATAGCACTCTAAATATTCAAGCTTCATGACAGTGGGAGAACTGTTACAAACGGTAGAAAGGTACTGACCTCATGCTCCTCTTTCATTTCTTGAAAGGAATACTACTGATCTTCTGTCTCAATTTGAAAGGCAACTCGAGGAACCTGCTGTTGATGATCTCAGTGTGACTGACCTTGTCCATTTGGAAAACCAACTGCAAACTGCTCTAATGCAAGCCAGATCTAGCAAGGTCACACCAAGTTCCTCTCTACTTTTTTACTTTCCTAGATAAATTTACATTTTTTAGAACTCTGGTGTTGATCTGTACATCGCGTTTTTTAGACGTTACACCCCGTAGCTAGTGTACTTCAGTTGTGTTCTCATTCTTNGAGGCATTTCTTGATCGTGACCTATAGCACTTGTAAATAGGTTTTACACAAAACTATTATCCTTCCATGGCTCCGGAATCTGTTACTCTATTATCCTTCCATGGCTCCGGAATCTGTTACTCCTTTGTGCGGGTCAGAGTGTCTTAGCATAAAATTCCCTTTGAATGTTCTGTAGGCATATAAATTTTATTAAAATTAAATCCATAAAATAATTTGGATTATATTTTAAATTCAAGATATACTAGTCCAAGTAAATATTATGGGCTAATATAATTGAATTAATTATATAAGTCCAATATATATGGATTAAATAAATAAGTCTTAATCCATTGGGCTAGCCCATTTAATTGGGCTACAAGTAATGAGCCCACTTCATTAGGCCCAAGATATCATCTTCCTAGAGGCCCAATTTGGTACCACGCGTGAAATGACGTGGCACGCCAAGTCAAACGGAAGAGCCAATAGGATCATGCCACGTGTCAAAATGACAAGGCATGCCAAGTCACACTAAAAGGCCAATGAAATTACGCCACGTGTGCAAGTGACATATTCTGGCCAATCAAATGCGGCCATGTCACACTTCAATTTGATTGGTCGGAAAGAGTTTGTTCTTATCATGACTCCTTCCTTCCACAACTATAAATAGGTGTCTTCATAACTCAGAAAAGACACCAGAAGTTATAACAAGAAGCAAGAGAGAGCTCGTGGATCAAACGCTGCAAATTTCTCTACAAGTTCAAGTTCAAGAAATCAAGTTCAAGCTCAAGAACGAAGAACAAATCAAGTTCAAGCTCAAGAACGAAGAACGAATCAAGGTCAAGTTCAAGCAATCATGCTCAAGCTCAAGAACAAGATCATCGTTCATGGCAACAAACATAGATTCAAGATCAAGCTCAAAGGCCTTTGAATTTATTTACTATTGAAAAGAAGAATCAAAGGATTCATAGAGATTGTACACTCAAATATTCGAAATAAAATACTACGATTGTTGCGGTATTTTCGGTCTTGATTTTATTTTCTCGACGCAAATTTATTGTCTACAAATTCTGGCACGCCCAGTGGGACAATCTCTACCTCTCATCTCAACTTTTCAATCACCAAAGTCCAAGAACATTGAAATGGCTTCAAAGAAAATCAACTCCGGTTCAACTTCCACCAAGGCTGCTAACTCCAGGTTCTACGCTGATGTGGAAAGCATCCTCGATGTCACCTTCGGAAGCTTTGGACCAGTTACGAGGAGCAAAGCAAGCTCTTTAGGACAACAAGCACCCCAAGTGCCGTCCACATCAACCCCTGTTTTCGGATCTTCATCCTCAAAAGGAGCAAGATCTTCCACAAACGCATCTGAAGGAGGAAGCGATGTTGCTGAAAAGATTAAGAAAACTCTTGCTCTGCTTGACCTCTCCGGCTCGAAGCACTCTGCTGTGAAGGAAGATGATGATGCTTCAAGTGATGGATCCTCCCCGCATACACCACATAGCGTGAGCCAATCAAGGATCAATCTGTGTGAAAATCCATGCTACTCTCCGTCATCCACGATAATCATGCAAGCCATGGTGACAAACACTTCATCTATGGAGGAGCAGTTAGCAAACTTGACGGAAGCAATCGCTGGCTTGACCAAATGCATGCAAAATCAAGAGGCTAGAATAGACAAGCTAACATACAGGGTGGGAATCTTGATGGAAGAAGAATCCACCCATGCACCCGGCAAGCTCCCAGAGGTTCTAGAGAGTGACTCTCCTCCAAGACAAGCAGCATCCACTAAGGCTATCCTTGTCTCATCTGAAGGGATGATTCCAATCGATCAATTGAAGGAGTTCATTGAAGGAACCATTAAGAACATGTCACGCCCCAAAATCCGAGGAGCGCGACCGGCGCTCAACCGAGTAAACCCGACTGAGCAAGCCTGTTAGGTGTCATTCTACCCAAACTAATTCATGAATAAATAGGAGATGGACTCCATTAATCATACTTAGTAAGTATTTCATTAACAACTTCCATTTCATTTCCATTAGCAGCTTAAATCATAATTATCAAAATATTACAAGTTTTATAAATCTTTGCCAAACATCAATATTTCTACTTTAATTCCAATACCCGACACTACCCACAACCTGTCTACGGAGCCTCTAAACACAACTGAAGAGTAATGTAATATGGAAATGCCGGTAACAAGGCTCCGACTATACCTCAAATACAAAGTACATGATAAACAGATGAAACAGGACCCCGAAACGAAGTGGGGCTCACCAAGTCAGCTGAAAGGATGATGCGGCACTAGCTGCGACCAACACTGCCTGCTATAGAAACACCTACATCCATTTAAAGACGTATCGCCCCCGGTAAAAGGGACGTTAGTGCCATCGGATAACACTAGTATGTATAACTAAACACCATCTCATTAGAAAGAACAACCATACAAGAATAAAGAAATCATAAGGATCAACAAAGCTTTTAAACAATCACTACATCATCAAATACAAATAAGAGATCACATAGCTTTCACACAATTTCCATAACTTTAGTTTGGGGCATTCCATATTGTTGCATCATCGTTCACAATACCACCGCTTTCTTGAGCGGAGTCCGATCACGGCCCAATCGGCTAAGCCGTCTCCCCGAGACGTTACCATTATTTCATTCTCACTTTCCAGTTCTAATTATCAATACATTACCACCATGTGTGTATAACATGGCGTCCGATCACGACCCGATCGGCTAAGTCGCCTCCCCGAGACGTTACCATTATTTCATTAATCATCTCACTTCAATCTTTGGTTTCACATGTATCAACTCATAGGCACTTAGCGCCACAATTTTCACATTATACTTGGCTCTAGGCCACATTTCACAACTCACATTCCACATCTCTTTCACTTTCAACATCAAGCTTTCAATTTAAGGTAATGGGCACATACAAGAGCGATTCAAGTTGTAAGCATAGAGAGAGATTCACATGATTTAGCATAATAATCACAATTTAAACTTGACTTGAAATCTAGGCAATTTAGCATATAGTTCACATTCTTCACATATCACCAATTTATCAAGAATAGCATATTGAACATCTTGGGACACACTTTTCACATATATTCTTGCAACACCAATTCCTTTGAAATATGAAATACTACGTCAATCAAATTCCGGACTTACAATTTTACGTGGGCACCATGGGAGCTCAATTTCTAAGAAGAGGGGGTTTTAGCCATACATACCATGTTTAAGCTTTCCTTAAGTTACTACGACGTTCCGAAAATTCTAGCAATCCCAATCTAGTTTGAGACATAACAAAATTGAACACAAATTAGGAAGGCATTCATGGTTTCAGCTCATTTGAGCATTTTATTAAATACTAGTTGAGCATCTTGATTTCAAATCTCTTTTACAAGATTTCCTTCATTCCCCAACCCAATCTTTACTTATTTATGTTCAACAATCTTCCCACAAACCTAATTTGTACATGCATGTATACATAATACTATTACACCAATAACCCATCTCACAATCTCTACAACACCAACACAACCTAGGTTAGGCACTTATGGCTTCCAATCACCATCCCATGAGTTCTAACGTATATATAATACATAAATAATTACCATAGAGTAGTTAGAGGTGATAGACATACCTCTTGTAGTAAGAATCTTGAGAATCCCCACTTGTAGTGTTCTTGATCAATTTAGGGATTTGAATGGGAATCTATGGATTTTCAAGATCAATCCTTGTTAGTATAAGTGTTTAGGAGTAGTAATCAACTCAAAATACTCCAAAAACATTACCTTGGATCATAGGAGGGAAGTACGGGACGGATTCCCCTTGATAAAGCAAGCCCTAGCTCAAAAAATGACTTAGAAACTCTCCATACCCGGTCTTGGGGTATTTATAGGGCTGCTAGGCGCGCGACCGCGGTCAAACCGTGCCCGGGACGCGGTGCCCGCGCTCGGAGGCAGAAACTTGCAGTTTTCCCGCGGCCGCGCCGCGGCCGCGCGTCTGACACAAGTCCGGTAAAATGGTCATAAATTTCTGTATACACCTCCAAATGACAAACGGTTTGATGCGTTGGAAACTAGACTCAAAGAGCTTTAATTTGATAGGTTTGGCATCACACAAAAACTTATATAAATGGAGATATGCTTGTCCAAATTGAGGTCTTGTGCGTACTCATTTACAACTTTAGTCTATTATGAAATTTTCCAACTTGGCTTAGACATAGGCCCCTCCTTAGACCCCAATTCACTTATAATATGACTTATACGCTTATTAACATGTCCAATTGATATCCCTTATATCATGAATCCTCATTTGCACACAAAATAAAATAATTAGCCTACCTTGGCACCACGAAATCTTAAATTACTTAGCAAAATTTTTCGGGGCCTTACAGTCTCCCCCCCTTAGGATTATTCATCCTCGAATGAGGAGTAGAGTCCGCCCTAAACGCTTAACACAATATATCCCCCCCTTTTTTTTTCCACCTACCTCAATTCCCTAAATTTAGACTAACCCCCAAATTTTTCAGAAATTTCGGCAGAGTCTCCTTTGTAACTAGGCCTATCCACCTGCTAGAGAACCACCAAGACCATCCTAACAACTTATCCTCAACTCGGCAAAGCACCACAATGTATATATCAACAATACTAATCTCACAATTACAAGCACTACATTATCATAATGATACCTGAATATGGACAGCACATTTTTAAATCACAATACCTATAAGGTACCTTTTAAATCAAAACCAATTGTTATACAATCAATCGAGAATATTTTCTTTCCACGGCACTTTCGGCCTTCAAGGTGGCCTCCTCGACTTATAAGCTTTGCCATGACACATTTACGGAAACAATCCCAACCTCCAAACTTATCTAACAAGGATGACAGCTAGATACCTCGTATAAGCTAACTATCCATTAACTTCACCTTCAATAATTTCCACCGGAATGATACGCAAAGGATCTCCAACAACCTTCTTAGACAT